AAATCCCCCTAAAATCAATAATCTGCATATTCAGGAATATGCTGGAAACCGCCACCCCCACGCACCCCCTGCCCTCGGTCTGTCTCTCTTGTATGTGGTGAGCGGCGGCCACGCTGGCTCCTCGGAAGGCAACGCGGTGCTTAGAGGTTCTGCGGCACCGGCAAGTAGATGAAATAAAAATAAGTGCTAGGAAAAAAAAAAAAAAAAAGAGTCCGCGTTGTAATTAAAACTGCAGCGAAAGTTCGGGAACTGCGGCGCAGCCTGGGCTCTGCCAGGTGGTCTCTTGTTCCCTGCCATTTGTTCCAGGCATCTCAATTTGGGAAGCAAATTCTGTATTTAAGTTATACTGCGTTTGTATCTTTTTTTTTTTTTTTTTTTGATCGAATGGGTTCCACTGTGAAAGTGGCACTAAAAAAAACACGCTTGTGTGATCCAGCAGCCAAAATAGTTAAAAGAGGGCTAGGAGAGCTTTAGTGCGTTGCTGCAGAGTCATGTTGACTGATACAGGTCTGTTTTTGACTGTGCAAAAATAAAAATCTGTTACATTAATCCTTATCACAGCAATGAATTCCACTTTGGCTAGGACGATCTTTATGTTTTTCACATGCTTTATTCTACTCCAGTATTTTCAGAACCTAAACTTTTCAAAGTAAACCAAAACACCATGTAGTCATTGTATAAATGCTGGTATCAAGCTGTATTTTGCTGATATTAAGAAGTAAGCTACAAAAATAAACCGACTTGCCATTGTCTAGTCTTCTGCCAAATTAAGCTTGTTCTCAGTTCCTCTTCTCAGAAGTCTCAGAAGTGATATACTGAACTATTGCCAGCCCTCTGAATATTTAATACTCATTTAGATACTCATTTAGGGATCACTAAGCCAGAATCCTCTATGTAGTAGAAGCATGTATAACAAACATTATAATGCTTTAATACAAACATGGGAAGCTACTTATTTGAAGAAGTTTGAACAATTTTACAGAATTGGTTGCTCTGTCATTATTCCGTCATTCACTCACAGACACAAATAATAAACACTGATACTGTGTCAGCATAGTATCTGCTGATACAATCCATGAGCTAATCAGAATGTGCAAAGATTAGAACCAAACAAAGGTAAAACAGGGGAAAAAAGCAAAAATAATCTTGCAGAGAAGAGGATAAAAAATGATGCATGCTTTTAGAAGAAACATTTGACTGCAGTCTAGAAGATGCTCTGGTCTTTCATTCCAAAAAAGTAACGATCTAGTGGCATACTGGTACAATACTTTAGAAGACAATGTAAACACTTTAAATTTGGTTTCCATAATGGCTTACAAAGACGATTGTTAAACACAAAGTGCTAGCTTTCATAGGTAATAGGCAATAATAACAGAATATTTCGTCTTTGGACTTAAGGTTTACTCTCTTGATCTTTGAAAATATAATACAAGAGACATTCAAAATATGATGAATTTTCCAGTTTTCCTTCTTCATTTTAAGAAGAAATTTAACTAGCACCTATCAAGAGTTATAACACACTGAAATTCCATATTTACCTAGAAAGAGGTTTGACTTCAAGGACTGGCTTCTTGAACTGTATCTCTTCAGTACAGATCATCAACAGGGCAACACTGACATGCCTCCAGTCTAGAAGAATTGTTTTCCACTAAATCCTCCATGCACGTATTGTTTCATCTGCAGGTGTCTTTCCTGTAACTGTGACAAAATGTATCAAATTCTAGAAAAAAGTTCTTGTCTTTTTCATTGAAGCATGTCCACTGCATAGGACACTGAAAAAATAAAAAGAGTCATCATTTTTTTTCATGTCTTACATGAAGCTGTCCTTAAACCTAGCCCTCAGAAGAGAAATGCTCTCTTTATTCAGATTTTCAAACCAAGAGAGCAAACATTAAACATTTGGTCACACCGGAATGAATACTAGTCAGATGCTGTCCTATTTGTCCTGCGTTTGTAAAGTACAGAAAATTAAATTAGATCAGAGCTATGCCCAGAATCTCTTTTTTTCTTCCTCCCTTTTCTCACCTTGCCCACCAACTGCCTCTTTTTTTTTTTTTTTTTCCCAAGCCATTCAGGTTTGGAGGAATAAATTCATTGTTACAATAACTCATAGACAAACTGAACACCAGGTGAAATATAGTTCTCCCAAATCTGACAGGAAAACTCATAGGATGGAAACACCCAGAAGATTAAACCCACTTCATTTATATTATGCTCCAAAAAGCATTACTTGTCACTTTCCCCATGTTCCCAGAATATACTCGGCAATTGCTAGGTGGCTGTAATATAGAAAATTTCCAGTTTTCCAGATGATGAGCTCTGACTCAGTACTCCTACTGATACAGCTCAATGTGCCGCATCCATTTACTTTATGTGGTGGTAAATCGAGGTTCTTTTTCCTTCCACCACAGCATGTTAAGAACAGTTTTGTGCCTTCTTCTCTAGGCTACCACACCATGTTCTTCCTAGCCCACCACCCATCCAATCTCAGATCAGGCAGCAGCACTTCTACCCTAACGTTTTTCTAGACCAGCTCCTTATTTCAGCTGCTGCCCAAGTGTACCTGCTTCCCTAAGAAGACAGGCAGCCCGGATCCCCCTAAATGCTGCTGCTGCCTCTGCCCAACCTTGACTGTCCTCCATTTTATTGGCTAAATAAGTCTGAACAGCTGTCATAGAGCTCTTTCACTTCGCGTCAAAGTAGTTTCTACAAATTACTGCTAGAAAAAAAAATGTCTTGTTCTATACATGCAAAATCCTTTAGAAGAGTTAGTGATGCGATGAAGCAGATTTTGCTCCATTTAAAATCAAAGGAGTGTCGTCAGTCTATATAATGGAAAACTGAATTTGCTGTAATAAAGCTAGCAGTTATGAGGGAAGATCAGTGTGGGTCCCTTAATGTTTACAGTTGAAAACACACAAGTCAAAGGCAAAGTTAGGATAGCTCATGATGACTATAACTATGAGAAGCAGAAAGGAGATAAAACAGCTTCATAACTAAATTTAACAGTGATGTATGTTCTAATAGGAAAGCCATAGAATGCTATTTATTGCCCACAGTAGCTATGGAAATATCACATAAAACATTTAACATGCAAGAATATTATGCTAATGAGAAATCTGTGTTAAATAGCCCTTCTGAACTATTCTCTGCCAAATATATTACAAGTAGCTAGAAAGTTATACTAATTCTAGGCATTCATCTTGCTTTGATTTGCTATGCACGGTGAAAATCAACACAGTCCAAGAAGGTACTTTAATATTCTGGGCCTCTCTGAGAGCTCTGCAAAATTCCCAGGTGGGAATCAGAGACAAAAGAAACAGGGACAGAACTACATCAGTAATAAGTGCAAAATATGCTTTAGTTAAAACTATTAATTTGGTATTAACATTTACTTAGGGATATTAATTTACCAATGAGCAATGCAATTCACCTCAGTGCATTGCATAAGTGGGGAAGACATAAAGTTCCTTGACATGGGATCCAAAAGACAGAGGGAAATCATCTAGGAGTGGGAAGGAATGATTCATGGTGGCAACGGGAGAAGTGTGGCCAGACCGCTAGCAAGCTTGGAAGATGTTATAATCACACATACTATGTGCAAATAGTATGTGCAAATTATACTGCAAAGGTAGTGCTTCCATCTAAGACTAGAAAACCCTGGAGAAAAAGCCTGATCTCCCAGAACAAGTTCTCCCTCAAGGAATTTACCTTGTCTGAAATCACTAGGGCTGAATAGCAATTGCCTATAAAAACAACTGATATC